AACATTTCCCTAAACCCCCCCCCCCCCCCTTTTCTTTTTTTTATTTGTATGTTTCAAGCTATTTCATACAATGAAAACTTATTCGAAAAAAGATTTCATGGTTAGAACACAATGCACACCGTCAGATGCTGCAGTAGTTTATTTGACCGCTGAGCGGCGCCACAAACGCGATGTTAAAGCTCGCGCTGAATGCGCGGCTCTCATTGTTCGAGCGTCGCGTCATGGAAAGAGTTACTGCGTTTGTGCTCAAAGTAAAGAAATACTTTATGAAAAACTCCTCACGGGCCTGTTGAATCACACCTCGAAGGAAATAATATGAACACACGGCGATCTGAACTGGATCCGTGGATTATAAAGATGCTTTAGCTCTACTTCTTATTCTTTTGTTTGCGGAATGCAAAGGATGCGTTTATTTCCCATCTCCGTCTGGGACGAAATGCTGGGATAATGTTTTCATCTGGAATTTAGTTCAGCCGGACTTGCAAAACAGATGTTTTTGTTTTTTAATATTTTTGCATCATGCAAGATGCTTAAAACTGTTTTAGAGTTATTATGAGACACTGAACTGAATGTGTTTGCCGGTGTCTCGGTTCTGCTGGACGGGATTTGTGGATTTATCGGTTTATTTTTTTGCGGCTGATGATTCTGGTTTTGTGGAATAATGAAACGGCGTAAATTAAGGGAAGTTGGAGAGTAACAACCTGACAGGGAGTTCTAACATGTAAGACTTTTTGCCACAAATGTAGCATATTGGATATTGTTTACCGGGGGAAAAAAAGAAAAAACAGATTCCTGTTGTCTCCTTTGTGGTCAGTAACTTTAAAAAGACTTGAAGATCTTTATCGTAAATAAAATGATTTACCATCAGCCTCAAAACTGCTAGTTTTGTCAAAGTACTATGATAACATATACAATATCATATAACCAAACTTTTAAGTTATCAAACTGCCCTGTTTTTGTTAGATTTGATCTGTGCAGTCTGATATGAGGTAAGGAACTTATTTTGTGGCCCAGTTACAGAAGTTACAAAAATGTCCCTGAGAGCCAAAGCCCTCTACACTTTCCAAAGTGAGAACAAGGAAGAGATCTGCATCCAGGAGAATGAGGAGCTGGTGATTTTCGACGAGAACGCTGTAGACGGCTGGCTGCAAGGTGAGAACAGCCGAGGAGAGCGAGGCCTGTTCCCCGCCTCGTACGTTCACATCATCCGGAACCGATCCGGGTCCAACCTGACGGATCATTCCCTGAGCTCACCTGGAAGCTCTCCTGGTAAGGATTTATCGTACATCCATACGCCTTCCACGACCCTGCCGAGCGACGACGATGACGACTGGGACGACTGGGATGAAACCTCGACGGTGGTTGAGGATGAAG